ATGATGATGATGATGATGATGATGATGATGATGATGAAACAGAAAGTAAAATAAATAAGTAAAGAGATAAAGAACTTAAGAATTGAACTAGAGGAATCTATGAATGAATTGTGATTCAAACTTAACTTATGTTTCTCAATCTTCAAAGGTCTATTTATACAACAACAAAGACATATGAAACGTTCAATGCCTATTCAAAGTCTATAATTACAAAATAGAACTCAATACAACATTCTGGAAAATTTAAATTCGATGAATCCACTGAACGAATTACTGAACAAAATTAAAGTTAAATTAGTTAAATGAATTCTAACAGATTTTGCTCAACGGATCCAAAAACACTGAGCGGTTGACACTATTTTAACTTTTAATTTTTTTTAATTTATCATTCTTCTAAAAGAAAATCAATAATTATTAAAATGTATAATTTAAGTAATAATTTATATTAAGATATTTTTATTTCCTTTTTGTAAAAATTATATTATCTATTAATAATTAATTAAAAAATATATTAAATATACATAAATTAAATTAATAATATTATTGATAAAATGTGTTCATCTAGACGACAAGATTATGTTCATCACACCCTAACTACTTCTTTAATTATAAACTACTTTTTTTAATTATATACTTTTTAAATTGGATTATTTTGATAGAACATGATTAATTTTTATTAAATTGAACTTTTTCAGTTAAAATCACATATATATTATCACTTAATAACCCATGTGACAAAAAACTAATTATTTTTTAATATTAAAAATTTAATGAAGTAATTAATATTATATGAAAATTACAAAGAATATTTTAATTATATTAAATATAAATATTTTTCATAAATATTATATAAAAAATATTTTACCATTTTTTTTAAATAATGATTAATATTAGTTATTATTTTAAATTAATAAATTATTAATAAATAAATAATAATAATGAAAAGTAAGTTTTTAATTATAAGTTTGAATTATCTATTTTCTTATAATTTATATATTAAATTATATTATCTTAAAAAATAACTAATCTCATTAATAAAATTTAAATTAAAAAAAAAATTATTTTTTATTTTTATTTAAATATTTTTTAATTAATTGATTTGATATAAATATATTATATTTTTTAAAAAAATATTTAATTAGGATAAAATTAGTCTTGACCTAATATAAGATCAAGCTAAACCATAAATTTTTTTTACGTAGAATTAGATCAAAATCATTCATTTTAACAATTCTATATATTATCTTTTCAGAGTTTTGATCATAAAATTTAAAATAAAAAATAATAATAATTTTCCTCGATGAAAATTAATTGTTATAAATTTTAATAGGATATATATATATATATTATGAAATTAGTCCTTAATTTCGTAATTTCTCTACTTGTGTCTGACATTTATTTGCTTTCAATAATAAAGTATGATCGAGATGCATGTGGCTATACCACAATCATCTTTAATCACGATAATTTTAAATTATATTAAAAAAACTAAAGAAAAATCATATCACAATTGCTAATTCAAAATTAATAAGCAATGGTGTATTAAATAAACCTCAACAACATAAAAAATGAATAAAAACACAGTAATTGAGAGTGGTTTGGATTTCACCGTATGAAAATTTGTAGATAACCTACAAATTAAATATTAAAAAATAAATAGGTGGCTGGTCTGTCCCACTCGTGGTTTGGCCTGTGCAAACTACAGGTTATGTGGGAAAGGTTTAATCAGCTGCGGGTTGAAATATCTAGTCTTTCACGTATTTTTCACAGTCCGCTCCGAATTATCACCCTTAATTTTATTACTTCAAACAATCAATTTTGTTTTTATTATTTAATTTTATATTTTAAAATTAAAAAAAAAAACCAAAATCTTATTTTCTTATAATTTTGATCAAAAAAACAAAGCTAAACAAGCCAATTAATTTAGAAGTGATTTTACCTAATAAGAAGAAACTTACAAATTTAACCAAAATTGTTCAATATTCTAGAGTGGTTAATCGATTGGTTAACAACAAAATAATTCAGTGTTTTTGGCATCTTCCTTAACTAACCATCAGTCTAGATTTGATTAAATATAATTGGTTTCATTCCTCAACAAAGCTGAACTCTACATTAATAGTTTAATTCAATTTCATTAGTGTCCTTTGAATTTTTAAACGCTCATAATATTTAGACAGCTAAGAACATTGATGGTGTGATTTGTAGTGGAACATAGCAAAAGTCATGAACACTATTTATACACAGCTTCACACACACCTGGAGAAAGGAATGAAGGTTTTCACCAACTGCATGCTAATAACGATTATGATTAATCAATTTTAAGATTTTAATATGTTTAAAGATATCTACTCTAAAATAAAATAAGGTCATAATTAAACCTTTCCACACCATTACCAAATTATTTGTTGTATTAGTCAAACAAATAACCAAACACAATGATTAATTTAACTTGTTTAGTGATGTGAAGTGACTGATTAAACAAAAACCACAGCACATGGGGATGTGCTGGCATGACAAAGCCAATCCCAAACAAATCGTCCCTACCTATTATTTTTTTGTTGTGGAGCTTGAATTCCCCATGACCCCCACTTGCCCTCTCTCCGCTCATCCATCTCGTATGTATTATTTCATGAAATGCCCTTGGGAAATCCATTTTTGTAATAAATGACACTTGGTTTTTGGACAGTAACCTCATTGTGGCTAAACAATGATATAAGGACATCTTAAAGCACATGGTGTCATATCTCACATGGCTTATCTAGAAAGCAAGCTCAGTTTGAGGATTTTTATTAGTCAAATCTTTGGCCTATGTGTGCACAACATTCAGTTAATTTAATCAGAATTCAATGGCAATAGATGCAACAGCCTCCATATAAATTCAGAACACGTGAAGGGGTGGAAAAGTGGAAACTCATGGAGCCAATTGGCAACTCTTGTGAGTCTTCATTTCCCAAAGATGAAAAAATTGAAACTGCGGATCTTCTGGAGGAGTGCTGGTTCTTTGATAACTTGTTGAAGATAACACCAAGGATGACAAGGTGTCACTCTGATCCTTACCCTTCCACTAGCCTAATCAGCCCCCCAGATTTTTTGTTGAAGGACTCTGATTTGTCCTCATACTCATCACCAAGTAACCCACCAAACAATGGTGCTTTTGTTAATCCTAAGAAGATTCAGAGAGCACCATCCATGCCACCATTGAGATTGAGAGAAGAAGAAGAAGAAGAAGGCCAAAAGGGAAGCAGTTCTACTAGAAGCGAATTGGTGCACCAACCAATAGATCCTGTGGTGTCTCATTCAGCCAGTATACCTCGTAGTGCACAGATGAAAGGACATCATAACAGTGATTGTAGTAGAATGAAAAGCAAACTGCTGAGAACACCATCTTTGCCTCCATCCATAGGGAGAGAGGAAAAGTTCCTAGTAAATGATACTAGAACTGGAAGATCCCGAAAGCAACCATCAACACCTACCCATATTGATATCTTGCCCCCTAGACAAACCTCAAAGGTACTTTAATCATCAACTTTTGTAAGATATTACGCAGTAGACTCATTTTTCATTTAGAGTTTAAATGCACAAGATTCTGTCCCTTCGAAGAGTTTATGATTGCTTTTAGTGTGGCCAGCACCAATTACAGCATGGCCAAAAAGCCCAAAAGTTTTTGGCATAAGAAAAATCATATGATCAAAAAAGGACAGGCAGAATATATATATATATATATATGTGTGTGTGTGTGTTAAAATGGTATTTTTCAGAGAAGTCCATAGTCCTTTACCAAGTAAAGTTCAAAATATATATACTTACAAATTCAGATTGATTTGAATGTGTTGAAACTCTTCTGTCATGACATTATGTCATTTTTGTTTGGCTATGCATGGCAGACTTGTAGCATTCCAAGATGTAGATCAACGAGAAAGACTGAGGTTGAAAGCTTCAACACAGATGGCATTATGGAGATGAGGCGGAGGTACCTGAATCAGAAAACGATGAGGAGAAGCCTAAGTGATCTTGAATATGAAGAGGTTCAGGGGTTCAAGGATTTGGGATTCTCATTTGAGAAAGAAACCTTAAGTCCAAGCTTAGCTAACATACTACCTGGTTTGCAAGAGAAAAAAAGAGATGAGACAGAAGAAGATAAGGCCGCAAGGAGACCATACTTATCAGAGGCATGGTTGGCGCAAAGTTGTGCTCCTCCTATTCCAAATTGGGCTTCTCGTAAGTCTGCAGGTGACATGAAACAGCAGATCAAGTTTTGGGCTAGAGCAGTGGCTTCAAACGTCCACCAGGAATGCTGAGAAAAACCATTAATTTCATTCAAATCTTGATCACAAAGATTAAATCCCAATATACTGATCAATTTTTTGTAACTATTTCCTAAGAACAGCAAAAATAATAATGATAATAATAGTAATTCTTGGTTTTTGATCTGCTATACAAGCCGTTTAATTAATCATGTATGCTCTCTCTATGAACAATATTCTGATTATCCAAAACAATGTATTAATTTATAATATATAAATCTTGAACAACGAGTTATCTCACTAGTGCAAAAAAGGACTTCTACGTCACCCAATTGTCGTCGCATATAAAAATATTCGACGTAAATAAAACGCGGTGATAATTTTGTAAATAAGAGACAAAACTTTTACGTTGCGCACCCCAGCACACGACGTAAAAAGCTTTCTTTTACTTCACGCCTCCCAGGTGCAACGTAAAAGAGTGCTTTTTACGTCGCGTGCTGGGATGCGCGACATAAAAAGTCCCTTTTATTTCCCCCCAGACCCACTCCCTTGTCTCGCGCAACCAGGGTTTTTGAGAACGACGACGAGAACGACGACAACAGCTACCTCTGCACACCATTTTCGATCAGTTTGACATTGGAAAACATCAACATTGTATGTCATTTTACGAACTTGATATTTCTCCCCGATTGGATTAGAGCTTGAAATCATTTTTCGTATACACTCGAGGTTAGTGTTCTATGCCATTGCTATATGTTTAAATTGAATCCGTGATTGTTTTTGGGGATCTCAATCACGTTATAGTATGAATGTCTCCACTGGATTGTTATTGGAATGTAATTATTTGTTTATTTGTTTGAGTGCATTCGGTTTACACACTCCATTGTTGTTGGAACGTGCTTTGTTGTTTGTATATTAATTTCTTTTTACATATAATTTTTAAATCTCTAGGAGTGATGAAACTTTATAACATAATATGAATCGAAGTTGGATGAATGCACGTCGTATTAGTGAAGAGTACGAAAAGGGAGTTGAGGAATTTTTGAAATTTGCTAGTGAAAATGGAAAAGCTATGAAAGGGACATATTATTGTCCATGTGTTCGTTGTTTGAATCAAATTCGTCATAAACTTGAGGATATACGTGATCACTTGTTTGTTTATGGTATTATTAAGAGTTATACAATATGGACATGGCATGGAGAAATATTAGACATCCCAACTGTGTCAACTACAGACAAATTTGATGAAGGGATGGATGATAATCTAGAGGATATGATACGTGATATTGGTGAAGAAAATTTTATGAAAGCACATCTATATGATTCTTTGAAATCTGATTTTGCGCAACAATTGTACATAGGATGTAGTTTTACAAGATTATCAACAACTTTAAAATTGTTTACTTTAAAAGCAAGAAATGGATGGATTTGATAAAAGTTTCACCGAATTATTGGAGTTGTTGAAGGAGATGCTTCCTGAAGATAATACATTACCTATTCGTAACTATGAGGCAAAGAAAATATTATGTCCAATGGGTTTAGAGTACAAGAAGATACATGCATGTCCTAATGATTGTATATTGTACAGAAACGATTTTGCTAAATTAAAGATGTGTCCGACATGTGGTTTGTCAAGGTTCAAAAACAAAGTTGAGGAAAGTAGTGGTGAGGAAGAACTAGATGGTCCCCCTACTAAGGTGTTATGGTATTTGCCAATTATACCTAGGTTTAAAAGATTATTTGCCATAAAAGAAGATGCAAGAAACTTGACATGGCATGCAAATGGTAGAAAATGTGACAATCTTCTTCGACATCCAGCTGATTCTCCACAATGGAAAAGGATTGATGAAACCTTTCCAGAATTTGGTGCAGAGGCAAGAAACTTGAGAATTGGATTAGCTACAGATGGGATGAATCCTTATGGAAATTTAAGTAGTAAACATAGTTCATGGCCAGTTTTGTTGATCATTTACAATTTGCCTCCTTGGTTATGCATGAAGAGAAAATATATGATGTTATCTATGATGATTTCAGGACCTCGACAACTAGGAAATGATATAGATGTATATCTTAGTCCTTTAATTGATGATTTGAAGATGTTGTGGGAAACAGGAGTGGATGTATTTGATTTATATCATGAAGTGAATTTTAGGTTGCGTGCAATGTTATTTTGTACTATAAATGATTTTCCAGCATATGGTAATTTGAGCGGTTATAGTGTGAAAGGTCATTTAGCGTGTCCTTTATGTCAAGAAACACAAGTTATATCCAATTGAAACATGGACAAAAAACTGCGTACAATAGGCATAGAAAGTTTCTAGTTGCTAATCATCCATATCTGTAGACCCCGAATCTTGCCTGGCCTCCAAATAAAGAGTAAAAGACCTCCTATTCGAAGATGGACAAAGCCTAACAAGCCACTAGGAGAGACTATTAGGCCCCATACTAGGATAGGAGGGATTTTCGGCACGCAAATAAGGTTTCTCGCCCTTTTGGGGACGAGACCGCCGTCTCGAAATCGAGACCGTCGTCTCGCCACTTTGGCATGACGAGACGGCAGTCTTGACCCTATCAGACGAGACGACGGTCTCGACCTGTCAGGCGCGAAAAACTATAAATAGGGGGCTCCCTTCGGAGCGTTTTTTGGGAGCGTTTTTTGGGAAAATTACTGGGTCAAATCCCCTTCGGGAATTTGTAGTTTGGTTCTTCACCCTTTTCTCTTCATTTTGACATGCTGTGCGTCCAAATCCGACATCTCAGTCAAAAGTTATGCCACTTTGAACATCTATCGCCCTTTTGTACTGGTGCATGCATAAATACATTCATTCTAGGGAGCACTAGATATCCCTAAGACAATGGCGAAAGAGGCCCCGAGCACATTTGTAACCTTCGCGACAAGGAAGGAACGAGTGTACCAAGGTGTGATGGTGATTGCCATTATACTTGTCAAATCTGTGATGGGAAAAGAACCATTACACCAAGGTGGGTATGATACCCCACAAAGCGTAAGCTTTAAGGAGGATACCTAAGTCATTGTCTTAAGGAATATCCATCTCATAAATCATTCATTTTAAACAATAAAAATCTTTTTGCATTCTAGAAAGCGACTGGTATTCTTCATGCCCTCATCCGCATACAAAAAAAAAACGCAAAATCCCAAACACTATCATACATCATGTTAGAAAATAAAACATGATAATGTTTAGGAAAAAACAAACACTTGCATACATGCATCTACCAAACTTCATCCTCATAACATGCATCTAATAATAGACAATCGAAGAAGTGGACATTCCTCAATACCATGAAAAGAAGATTAGGGCATTCGCATGCCATGCACGGGAAGTCAAAAAGAAAATAAATAGAAATTCTAACCTGCCTATGGGTTCACTTAGGCTTCTCCACTTTAAAAAAATGTACTTCGAAACATTGCATTGAGGAATGTACACTGTCTGGATGAAATAAATAAAATTGTTTGTTTTCATCATCTCTTCAATCGTCTATTGCATTCATAAATTGCATTCACAAATTGCATTCATTCTCACTTTAATAAAAATAAGATAATAAAAAGAAATAGGATTAGTCGATGTGCTTTCTACAAATCGAAGTAAGATGAAGAGCAAACTTTTCGTCGTCAAGTTCCCTCCAACGGTTGATCCGCCTAAGGAGGATAATAAGCCTCAACCGTTGGGTATCCGAGTTAATAAGGAAGAAGGGGCAAGGATGTCGTTACATTTGTTCACCCCATACATCAAATAAGGTTGCACCATGGAGATACGCAAAAACACCGCCCATTAACAAGGATATCTCCAACATAGCCAACATTCGGGGGCAAAATTAGAAGTGAAAGAATCTACACCCCGAGAAGCTACCAAACGACGCTCCTACAAATAAAGAAAAAATAAAAAAGACCGAAGAAAAACATAATCCAAAGAGGAAACTGAGTAGACTTTGGATTCACGACGCTAAGGCAGTTCTCTCAATGCTCCGCCAAAGAGACAAACTCAGGGTAGACGACAAGCTTACACATTTTGAGCTAGAGATGACATTCAGATCAGCAAATTGTCTGCCCTACCTTGAATGGATGCGGCGTAAGAGGATCTTTGAAATATCTTTTTCCAATATGAAAAGACTTCCCCAACAATATGAAGGTGACCCACATGGTGAGGAAATATGGATGCCACCCAAACCAAGGGCTCATTAGAAACTTTCAAGGAATAAGGGAGCCACCAGATTTTAAAGACATTCCTGGCCTAGGGCATGACCCTACAAAGGATCAAGCTATATGGAGAAAAGGGAAGTCTCCCCTCTGCAGCTCAAATCAGATTTTCCCAAATAGAGGGGTTCGAGCGTCAAAAGCGACTTTAGCCATTAGGTGTTCTCTTTCCAATCTTAGGGTTTGTAAATCCAATGACTATTAGAGATTGCTCCTCGGGGCCAGCCCGACCCCCGAGCATTGTAGGGCACACATTTCCCTATTAATTACAAAGAATTTCATTCTTACTATCTGCTTCTCTTCTTGCTATTCATGTCTAAACCTCATTAATAATCATGTTTAAGCAAACATTTTCAAAGTGCGTCAAAGTAATCAACATGCGCCATTGACCAAAATAAAAATCAAATCCATCATCACTGATTGACTAGAAACACAAAATAAGGTTTTACCTCGTCACAAATAAAGCCGTGTTTTGCCAATGTTGTGCAAAAAGAAAACAAAAATAAAAAGAAGCCCATAAAAGCTAAAGGCCAAAAAAGAGAGGGCAAGATACCCAGTAGGAAACCCACAAAGGGGGCTACGCAAAAGTTAGGGTAAACTCGCTAGGAAACCTGAACAACCATAAAGGGTAGCCTAGGCAAAAGTTAGGGTTACAAAATAAACTCCGCTAGGTTTCCCAAAGCAAGAAAAATGAAACCTAGACAAAAGTTAAGACATAGCACAACACCCTAGGCTGAAAACCCAAAGGGTAGACTAGGGAAGTCAATTAGTCATAGCAAGCGCCATAGAATAAGACGCCACTCCATAAACAAAACGTTTGTCTAAACTAGCCTAAAAC